CGAAAAAAAAAAAAAAAAAAAAAGAAGTTGACTGAAGCATCTGGATGCTTCTTCTTGTGCTCCTCCCCGCAAGTTTGCACAAAGAATGCATATGATGACATTTTGCCTCTTGGCTTCTTAGGATCTCCTTTGCCCATGTTTAGTTATCTTTCCTCTGCGAGGCACAGTCACCCGGTGCCCGTCCAGCTCTCACTTGGCATTGTCTCTATGGAGCTCAACGTACTGCAATGGCTGTCTGTAATTTATTCTTTTAATTTTTTTTTTTTTTTTAAGATTTTTGCTATAGGGTGTGTGCATTCATCAGAGAGACAGAAAGTGAGAAATCATCCACTCCCCCAGAGGATATAGCCACACTGCAATCCTTTCTTTTCCATTCTCTTCTTGAAATGTTTGGGCACATACATACATGTCCCTGGTGTGAGTTTTAAGCCACAAGGTTCAGGACTTGAACCACGGTTGATTACGTGCAAGTTCAGTGGCATAACTGTTATGTATCGCCCTCTTTTTATTTTCTTTTTCTTTTTTTAAGAGGTTTTTACCTTAGGGTCCATGCACTCTCTGGAGAGAGAGAGGGGGAGAGACAGAGACAGTGAGAGGGAAAGTGAGAAATCACTCCGCAGAGGGATGCCCACACTGCAATCCCTTTTCCTCCATTCTCCTACTGGGATCTTGGACACAGGTGCATACATGCCCAGTTTTAAGTTTTAAGCCACCAGGTTCAGGACTTGAACTGTAGTAGTCCACGTGGGAGTCCAGTGACGTAACCACTTCTCCATCTGCTGTCTTTCTGGCACGTGCATGCGCCCTATAGCAAAAACCTCTCAAAAAAATTTTTTTTTTAAACAACAAATGACTTCAGTAGTAGAAAGGCATATTAGTGAACTAAGCAAGGCAAAAGAGTAGATCCAGAGCCCAAATCCATACTAACTTGCAATTGTTTAAACTGAACAATAAGCATCTCTAAGCTCAACATCTAATGTTTATAAGGCAAAACAAAATTGAAAGAAGATAGAGATTGACACTTTTTTTTTTTACAACTATTAAAAGTATGGTAAATTTAAGTATTAAAATGAAAGAAACAGGGAACCAGCAGTTAGCGTAATGGCTATGTCGCTGGATTCCCACGTAGTCGACCGCGGTTCGTGTCCCGGACCCGGTGGCTTAAAACTCATGCCGGGCACGTGTGCGTGCGTGCCTAAGATCCCGAGAGGAGAATGGAGGAGAAGGGATTGCGGCGTGACCATCCCCCCTGGGGGGTGATTTCTCGCTTTCTGTCTCTATGTCTCTCTCTGTCTGTCTGGCGAGCGCACGCGCCCTACAGTGAAAATCTCTCAAAAAAAAAAAAAAAAGAAAGAAAGAAACAATGCAGGAGAATGGAGAAATGAAATATGTTGACAAATAGTAATTCTCAAAACAGTCTACTAAGCACTCCATCAGACCAATAACATGAAACTCACACCATATCCCCAGGAGAAGTCTGAGCTGCCTTCAGTGGAAATTCCTGTGCCTGTATAACTTGGAAAAGCAGACCTTGAATTCCCCGTATCGGCTGATGTAAAAGGTGATTCTTGTGTGATGTCAGATTCACTAAATGCACAATTTGGGAGGAGGAGAGAAAAAAGAAAAATTTTCATATTTCCTCAAGTTTCTATAGCACCAACTACTAAGCAGCTTATTAGGTGTTAAGCAGGTGTACCAATATATCCTCAGAGGCCAAAATAAATGAAGAATTTGAAATTCAAGCATCACAGAAAAGTCCTACTGAATTCCTCTAAAATAGATGGCAGCCAGTCCAAATAATTCTAGTCATATTTTACAATGAGTACTTTATTTAAGAGTTATTTCATTTAATTTTGTTGTTGTTATTATTTTTAACTTGCTATAGGGTACGTGCACTTGTGCAAGGAGGTGGGGAATGAGAAAGCAAACTGTCAGGTCCAGGACGAATCGTAGTCGGCCATGTGAGAATCTAGCACCCTAACCACCATGCCACCTGCTGGCCCATGCAATGAGTACTTTAATATTTGACCTATAATATATATTCTTATAATTAAAGACATTTCAGAAATGTTAGCAGTAGTCTAAACTTATAATGGCACTTTTATAGTTTACCAAGCACTTTTACAGATATGAATCTCATTTTATCCTCAAAACCACTTGGTGATGTAGAATCTGATTAACTCCATTTCTATGTTTTTAAATTAGGTTTTATGATCTTATTATTTTTCTATAATAACACATTGCTTCTCAGAACTCTTTGAAGTTACAGTCTCCTCCATTTTTTAAAACAATAACTAGAAGGCCAATCCTGTGATATAGTGGTTAAGGGAGCCAGATCCCACATGGCTGATTGACTGGAATCCCGGTACCAGTGGCTTGAAAACACGACTTGCATATGTGCGTGCATTCCCCTACTCCTGACAGAATGGAGAAATGGAAGAGAAGGAATTATATCATGACCATGCCCCATTGAGGGGTGCTTTCTCCTTTTCCCTCTCTGTCTGGTAAGTGCACACATCTTCTGACAGTAAATAAATAAAAACTGTCACTAATATTTACTTGGCATTTACTGTATGCTAAGCACTGTATCAAGTTTTACACATTTTATTTCATTTACATTCACAACATCCTATAAGAGATTCTATTACCAGGTTAGTAAATTGCCCCGTTAGTAAGTGGCAGGTTAAGGATTAAATATCAGATGTTAGACTCATAAATCCACATTAACTATTTTGTAATTCTACTTCTCAAAAAAAGTATGATGTTGTTACTGATAGCTGTACTAGAATAAAAAATAGTACTGAAAACGTGATAAAAGTTCTTTTGTTTCATTAGCACAAGGCTTGATAGTAATCTTAAGCCAAAAAACAAAACCTTTCCCAGTAGCCAAGTATAATAAGCAAACAAATACACTTTGTGTTATTACCTTTGGGAACTTGTATCTTTTTCATGACTGTCATTGGTAGAGGAAATTTCATCCAGCTGCTCTGGAAGGGGATGATGATTAAGAGCATGCTTTGTTATTCCTTTCCTATTAAAGATAAAACAAAGTCATATTTCCTATAAAGAAAAAATATATATACTTCTTAGTAGGTTGATCTAGAAATTAGTCACCTACTTCCTCCTGCTCCAGAACTGTGCTAATATGGAAGCCACTAGCCACTAGCAGTTAAATTTATCTAGTCAGAATTGATTGTGGAGCCAGCCCATGGTATGGTGGTTAAGGCAGCTGGATCCCACATGACCAACTGTGCAGCTCGAGTCCTGGACGTGGTGTCTTGCAAAACATTATAGGTGTGTTTATGTACATGTGCCCAAAATCCCAAAAGGGGGCAAAATGGAACGGGAAGGTAGCATTCCCTCCCTGTTTGGAATTGCCGTCTCACCTTCTCTCTCTTTCTCTCTGACTCTCTCTAGCAAGCAATTTTACTCTCTGGCAAAATTTAAAAAGGAAAAAAAAATGTGTTTTATTGTTAAACACTCTGAATTTCTAAGTTTTAGTTTAACAAGAAGACTGAAATATCTTGATTACATGTTAAAATGATAATATTTTAGATATATTGCGTTAAATAAAATACATTCTTAAGTTAATTGTACTGCCAATTGAAAATACAGTAAGTGGGACCAGCAGATGGTATAATGGTTACGTTGTTGGACTCCATGTGGTTGACCATTGTTTGAGTCCTGGACCCAGCAGCTTAAAACTCATGCTAGGTATGTGTGTGCATGCCCAAAATCCCAAGAGGAAAATGGAGGAGCAGGGATTGTAATGCGGCCATCCCCTCTGGGGAGTGATTTCTAGCTTTCTGTCTCTCTGTCTCTCTCTGACTCTCTGGTGAGTGCACGTGCCCTGTAGCAACTTAAAAAGAAAGAAAATACAGTAAGATATTACCCCATACCCATTAGAACAGCTAAAATAAAAAATAGTTTTGGACCAGCAGATTGCATAATGGTTATGTTGCTGGACTCCCATGTAGTCGACTGCAGTTCAAGTCCAGGACCCAGTGGCTTAAAAAATAAACTCATGCCACCCATATGTGCATGTGTGTCCAAAATCCCAAGAGGAGAATGGAGAAACGATTGCAGCTTGATTCCCCCAGAGGTGATTTCTCACTTTCTATCTGTCTCTCCAGCAAGCCCCTGTGCCCTTTAGCAAAAATCTCTCTCTAAAATAAATAAATAAATAAAAAGTAGTCTTAATATAAGAAAAAAAAACAAGGATATGGAGACACTGAATATCTCCTACATTGCTAATAGGAATATCTAATGATACACTACTCTGGACAGTTTCCTATAAAACTAAACACATACATTTATCAAAAGACCTAGCAATTGCACTTTTGGGCACTGAGCCCAGAGAAACAAAAACTTATGTCCACACAAAAATCTATACACAGTTGTTCATAACAGCTTTATTTATAATTGGAAACAAAATGAAATAACTCATGTTGTTTAACATGTGAATGGTTAAACTCTGGTATATCCATACAATGAATATTATTTGGCAATAAAAAGAATGAACTATTGATATACACAACAACTTGAATGGACCTCAAAGGTATCATTCCTAGTGAAAAAGCCAAAGCCAATCATTAAAGGTTCTCTATAAATGGGACCAAATTGCATAGAACTATGTATACATATGGTGGATGTGAAAACAGAAGGAAACTGAATGAGGTCTGTGCTCTAATTAACAATATTGTACCAATGTCACTTTCTGGCTTTGAAGTTATACTACAGTAGTCTTCCCTTATCTGTGAGTGATATTCCAAAATCCTCCAAAGGATATCTGAAACTGAAGACTCTACCAAACCCTGTACATATACTGTTTATTCCTATATATAAGTAACTATGATAAAAGTTTATGTTATGCACAGTAAGAGGTTAACAACAGTAGTTAACAATAAAATAGGACAATTATAAAAATATAACAAAAGTTATATAAATGTGATCTCGTTCTTTCTCAAAATACCTTATGCTGTGCAGGTAATTGAAACCATGGAAAGCAAAATCATAGATAAGGATGGAATTCTGGACAGTTACCTAAGATATATCAGTATTGAAAGAAGCTGGATGAAGAGTTCATGGGACCCTGTGTAGTTTTTACAGCTTTCTAGGAGTCTATAATTATTTCCAGACAGAAAGGGAAAAAAACCACCTTCTTTATTTGATGTAGCCACGTGAAAATTTAATATGATATATTATGATGTGACTTTTATTGTATTTTCTCTTGGACATTGCTGCTCTGGAGAGTTCAACATATGCAAGGGAATTAACTATGGAATCAATTATTTTATGTTGCAGTCTTAAACATCTGTGTGGACTTTTCTTGCCCCCAAAATTCTACAGTAACATGAATTTAGGAAACACGATAGTTAGATAGTCCTTTTCAACAAAATCCTGCAGTCAAATAAATTAAGGAAACCCAATGGGTTAAACAGAGTAACATGGGTATCTTTACAAGAAGTCTTTCCAGAGCCTTTAATATGTAAATGTATATTATAAATCTCTAGTACTTATTTTACAGGAAAGGACACCAAGGCACAGCAAAATTAAGTGCCCTGCTTAATGTCATATGCATAGTAAATGATAGAGCTAGGATTCAAATCCAAGTAGTCTATATGGTTCCAGAGCTTCGCAAAGGCAATTATAGTTTAAGATTTTTTTTTTTGGGGGGGGGGTTTGCTATCGGGCACTTGCGCTCGCCAGAAAGACAGAGAGACAGAGAGAAATCACCTCCCATGTTGGAATGGCCATGCCGCAATCCCTTCTCTATTCTCCTCTCAGGATCTTGGGTATGCACACACATGTGCCTGGTGTGATTTTAAGCTACTGGGTCTGGGACTCGAACCGTGGTCGAGTACATAGGAGTCCAGCAACATAGCCATTACGCTAACCACTGGTCCCGATAGTTTGAGATTTTAATGAATTGTACAATTTTTGTATATAAAGTTATGGGCCCAATCAGTGGTACTTGTACTTTAAATGATTTTTCTAGTGGTGAAGATAGATTTGTGTAGTTATCTCCTTTTCTGTTCAGTGAGCCTACAGCCTAAAGCTTATCTTTGAGAAAGTGGTAGGGGTCAGAAATAGGTATTCCAGCTATAAAGTATCAGAAATAGGTATTCCAGCTATAAAATAGAGATTTAAAACATTCCTTAGTCTATCCAGAGAAATCTGGCAATGAAGTAACTATCTGATAATAACAAATTATTATTAAAATAGCATTGTGATCACATAAGAAAAATGTCCATAATTTTTAGAGATGCGCATTGGTATACATAATGGTAAAATGCTAGTGTCTGAAGTTTTGCTTTTCTTATTTCAGAGGCACAGAGAAACTATAAAAAAAAAGTAAAGAAGATAGATGAAGCAAATATATTAAAACTATATAACTTGAAGGACCTGCAGTTGGCATAATGGCTATGTCGCTGGATTCCCATGTAGTCAACTATGGTTCGAGTCCCAGACCCGGTGGCTTAAACTCATGCTGGGTGCATGTGCGTGCAAGATCCCGGGAGGAGAATGGAGAACGGATTGCAGTGTGGCCATCCCCCCAGGGGGGGTGATTTCTCATTTTCTGTCTGTCTGTCTCTTTCTGGTGAGCGCAAGTGCCCTTTAGCAAAAACCTCTTTTAAAAAAATTTAAAAACCTATATAACTTGAATGTGGGGTGACAGGTGGTTCATTATACTATTCTTTATATATTTATGTTTGAAAATTTTCATTAAAAATTGTTACTATGGAGCTAGCAGGTGGCGTGATGGTTAACACACTGGACCCCACAGTTCAAGTCCTGGACCTGGTGGCTTGAAAAACATGCCAGGTCTGTGTGCGTGTGCATGCACGCCCAAATTTCAAGAGGAAAATGAGGAAGGAATTGCAGCATGGCCATACCCTTGGGGAGGGATTTCTCACGTTTCCTCTCTCTCTTTCTCTGGTGCACCCTATATATGCATCACATAGCAAAAACTTAAAAAAAATTTAAGGGGGACCAGCAGATGGCATAATGGTTATATCACTGGACTCCAACATAGTCAACCACAGTTTGAGTCCTAGACCCAGCAGCTTAAACACATCAGGTACATGTGTGTGCATGCCAAGATCCCAAGAGGAAAATGGAGATGCAATTGAAGTATGGCCATCCCCCCAGGGGTTGATTTCTCCCTTTCTGTCTTTCCTGTGAGCACACACACCCTTAGAAAAATCTCTCTAAAAAAAAATTTTTTTATACATATATATATGTATGTGTGTGTGTGTATATATATATAGTGAGTCATTCTTTCCAAATGTTTTTTGCTATCTGTAACTTGCAACTGTTATGGAAAAAAATCAAAATTATTGTTTCAAAGCGTATAATCATCATAACATCAAAAGTAATCAAAAGTAAAAAATTATTTTTAATTTACTGTCATTTAGATACAGTTTATCTTCACGATCTTCATTATTCACCTCGTGACTCCAGTTATAGAAGCATCTTTCGGGTATGTTATCTATAGCAAGTATCAAGTCACCAATCAAGAATAAGTAGTGTAACTATATTGGGTCAACTGACCCAATAAGTGCCTAACAACACTTTTTTATACAAGATTTTTTTTTAACTCTCAGAATGATTGGAATTATAAATGACTTTTAGTTAAGCCTTTTTTACTTTATTGAGGAATGTATATCCCTTCTTCCTAGTTCCTAAGAGTTTTTAATCTGAATTGGTACTGTATAGATATCCTATTACTTAATAGATAATAAGCTTTTCAAAGGCAAGGAGAGATTTTAGACTTATTTTCGTAGTACGTCTACTATACCAAATAAAAATGATAAAAGGAAATTATATTACTTAGGACCTACTATTTATTGAGCCCTATCCCATCACATTAGATATGCTTGTAGATAAGATGGTCTTATTTCCTTTTTTTTAATAAAGAGAGCAATTTTTAGATTTTTGCTACAGAATGTGTGGGCTCACCTGAGAGACAGAGAGAGACAGAGAAACAGAAAGTGAGAAATCACTCCTCTAGGGGGGATGGCCATGCTGCAATCCCCTCTCCTCAATTCTCCTCCCAGAATCCTGGGCACGCACACACATGCACCTGGCATGAGTTTCAAGTCAGGTGGGTTCTGGACTTGAACCATGGTTGACTACATGGGAGTTCAGTAACATAACTATTATGCAATCCACTGGTCCCAAAATGGTCTTATTTCTGTATTACAGAAATTAAAGCTCAGAGATTTGGAAATTTGCCTGAAAGAGAGCTAGAAAAGAGCCTAGCTAGAAATCTGGTGTAACTCAAGCATACTTGCTATTACCATATAGAGTTCGTATTTTAAAAACATATAGTTGCTAAAATTACATAGCTTAGTAAAGGAAAAGAGAAAGGAGGATTTGGGGTTAAAGAGCCCCAGCTCAAATTCCGACTCTATTGGCGATATAATCTTTTTATTTATTTATTTATTTTTTGTGGAGAGGTTTTTGCCATGGGGTGCATGCGCTTGACAGAGAGACAGAGAGACAGAGGGACAGAAAGCAAGAAATCACCCCCGAGAGGGGATGGCCACACCGCAATCCCTTCTCCTCCATTCTCCTCTCGGGATCTTGGGCACGCACGCACACATGCCCAGCGTGAGTTTCAAACCACCGGGTCTGGGATGCGAACTGCGGTCGACTACGTGGGAGTCCAGCGACATAGCCATTACCTAACTGCTGGTCCTGGCTATATAATCTTAAAATGCATTCCCTGATATAATTTTGTCTTCTGAAAAACTGAAGATAATCATATCCATCTTAGAGTTATTATAAAGATTAACAACAGTCCTTTTGAAACTCTAAAGCGTTAATAAATTTAAGACATTATCATTACTTGCTAAATACATTTTATTATGTGTGAGAGGTCTTTTTTTAAAGAATTATTTTATTTTATTTATTATTATTTTTTAATTTGACCAGAGAGAGAGAGGGGGAGAGAAAAGGAAAGTGAGGAAGCAAGCCAACAGGTCTTGGACTCAAACCACAGTTGTGCACATGGAAGTCCAGTGCCTTAACCACCACATCACCTGCCAGCCCAGGGAGGTAAATCTTTAAACCATGAATATTTGTTCTCTAAAAACTCAAAAGGAAAACTGATCATTATGGATTCTAATGTTTAAATACAGAAGCGGGGAGGCAGTATGTGTAATGGTTATGACCACGTGCTTCGTAATAATAATTTGTTAGCTCCACCATCTCCGGCCATGTAATCTCAGCATGTTACAGTCTTTAAATCTACAGCATCCGTAGCTGTAGAATGTGCAAAATAAATTCCCAGTCTGATGTCCTAGTTGACAGGATTAGGTGAACAGCTTTGCGGTGTGTGGCACCTGATGTATTCAACTTTATTGTAGCACTCAGTTATTCACACCGTATTGAGCTGTCAAATGGACACTGACAGTGGGGCCTGAAGTACTGAGAAAACTACAAATGCCTTAGGAAACTCTGTCTTTGAGTTCTGAAGGTACAGCCCAAGAGGCCAAGTTCTAGTGACATGCCCATAGCTGGACACAGAAGGACAAGAGGCAGCGTCGGGCAGGTCTGGGAGGAGAGAATTGAGAAGAAAATTTCCTCTCCCTAGCTTTGGCAAAGAAAGGGAGCAAAGGACTGATTAAGGAGGGTCCCCAGAGCGCCCGCGGCCCGCCCCAGCCTCCCCCGGCACCGGCTGGGGTGGCTGAGCAGTCCACTCACAGCTCCAAGCTCTGTGGCACCGCCTTCCGAGTGTATCTGGAGATCATCCTCCTCCTCCTCCTCCTCAGCCGCGGCCGGGGCGGGCACGCCAGGGTGGGGGCCTCCGGGCCTGGCCCTCCCGCCGGCTCCGGCCAGGCCCCCTCCCGCCACCTACCGGCCCCGTCTCGCCCCGTCGCCTAGACTCCGGGCCGCCACCTCCCCTAAGGTCCCCACCTCTTCAGTCCTCCGACCGCCCGGCTTCCCCGCGAGGGCGGAAGTGACGAAGTACCCGGGCAGCAGCCAGATGCTCCCGCGGACGCACGGTAGTGACGACACCAGGGTTCCGGGGCGCAGAGCGGGCTTCAGACGTTGTCGCTGGACTGCGGTTGGCCGCGAGTCCTAAAAGGGCGTTGAGACCGAGCCTGCTCCGGGAATTGGCTGCTGGCGGCAGTTCTCGACCGACTCACTCAGTGGAAGGGGCGGCTGAGGAAAAGGGTCATAGTCCAGACGCCCGGGAGAGGCTCTGCAATCGTAAGAGAAATTTACTTCATTTTGTCACCTTGAAGTGGGGAGTACGCTCTAAGTAACAGAACTCGTCTCCGAGTCAGAACCTGCTACTCGGTCGCTTTTCTGTGTGCTCCCCGGTACAGTGAGGTGTTAACCTGAGTAAGCTCAAAGCCCCTTCCAGTTCTCACGCTGTAAATGCTCCGTAATGAGGAGTGCTTGACTGCTTGGGATTAGTGGGTAGAATGATTGTCCCTATGGGTTGAGAAGCAAAATATGGGAGTCTGTGTAGAAGATGCGGGTTTCTTACTAGCCTATTAGACAGCTGAATGAGCGAAAGAATCGAATCGCAGCATTGTGGTCCTTCCAGGTACAGTGCCATCCTTTCCAAGCAATACCTAAGATTAAAATCAGTGGTTAACTAGTACTTTTATTTTATTTTATTTATTTTATTTTTAAGTTGACCAGAGAGAGACAGTGAGAGAGAAGGAAAGTGAGAAAGCAAGCTGTCATATCCACGATTTGAGCTGTGGCCAGCCATGATGGGAGTCCAGCTGCTTTAGCCGCCACCACCTGCCAGCTCCAACTAGAATTTTTTTTTTCTTTTTTCTTTTCCTTTTATTTAAAATTTTTTTTCCATTTCATTTTCTTCCATACATTCAATCACATTATAATTTGTCTTATGAAATGTATATTTCAAACTATTACTTTTTTTAAAAAGAATTATTTTATTTAACTTTGTTTATTCATTCATTCATTCAAATTTGACCAGAGAGGGACAGAGCAAGAGAAAGCCACTAGGTCTGGGACTGGAGCCATAATGGGCCATGTGGGCCACACACTACCTGCCGGTCCCCAACTAGTCCTCTTATCTAGTAAGGAAAACGCTTAGAAAATAGATAACCATAGGGGGCCGTAAGGTAGCATGGTGGTTAAGGGCGCTGGACTCCCACATGGCCAGTGGCAGTTCTAGTCCGGGACCTGGCAGCTTGCTCTCTCGGTCTCTCTCTCTTGCACTGTCCCTCTCTGGTCATTTTAAAATAAATACGTAAACAAATAAAGTTAAATAAAATAATTCTTTAAAAAAAGAAAATAGGTTATCTCTACTTCTTAGTGTACAGGAGATATATGTCCCCCCCGCAAGACCTGAGAAAAGGGACAGGTTTAGGATAGGCAGTTAAAAAATCAAGAACCATGGACAAATTTTTTGTAATTGCTTATTTTTATTTATTCATTCCTTTATTTGACCAGAGAGAGACACAGAGAAAGAGAATATGAGAAAGCAAGCCACTAGGTCCAGGACTGGAACTATGGTAGACCATGTGGGAGTGTCCAGCATCTTAACCACCACACCACCTTCTGGTCCCCTGGGCAGATTGTTTTAAGATGAAATAATAAGACATGAATGTTTTGTACTTTCTGAATTCCCCTGTGCCTTGCAATGTTTCTAAAAAGGAAAAATGTGGTTTCTGCAGAGCAAGGTAGGTTAGTCTTTAAAGCATTTAAAGAACAGAATTTTAAAGGGAAGAAGGATTTTAGAGTTGGTAAAGTAACGCACATTCTATAATTAAGGGAGAAGCCCCAGAAAAAGAAAATGAAGTACCTAAAGTGACAGACCAATTAGTGGCAGAAGTAGTAATTTGGCAGTTTTTAAAAAGTAGTTGTTGGGGACCAGCAGTTAGTGTAATAGTTATGTTGCTGGACCCCCATGTAGTAGTAGACCACAGTTCGAGTTCTGGACCCAGTGGCTTAAACTCACTCTGGATGCATGTATGTGCATGCCCAAAATCCCAAGAGGAGAATGGAGGAGAAGGGATTGCATCATGGCCATCTCCCCGGGGGGGGGGAGGGGGGGATTTCTCGCTTTCTGTCTCTCTGTCTCTGTCTTTCTGGCGAGCGTACGTGCCTTATAGCAAAAAATCTCTCCAAAAAAAAGAGTAGCTGTTGGACGACAGATGGCCTGGCGGTTGGGTTATGTTGCTGGATTCCTACATGGCTGATCTCGGTTCCAAACCAGGACCTGGTGGCGTGAAAATTATGCTGGGAGTGTGTGAGTGCATGCCCAGGATCCCGGGAAGAGAAGGGAATGCAACGGCCATCCTCCAAGGGGGGTGATTTCTCACTTTACCTCTCACTGTCTCTTTCCATCTCTCTGTTGAGCACATGCACCCTATGGCCTCCACCCTCAGCACAGCACCCTAAGGAAAAACCTCTAAAAAAGAAAAAAAGTAGTAATGTAGTGGCAGTGTTTTTCAAAATATGTGACACACACCACTACTAATGAAAGGTCAGACATTTGAAATTGTATTCTTACATAGTCATTAGTTTAGAAATGTAAGGCTGGATTTCCATTCCCTGTTTATATCAAGGTTTTCTTTTGATATTATTTTAAATATAAAGAACATAGTTTTAAGTATAAAATGTCATTAAAAGAGTAATATTAAATAAATGTTACTATAGATGGTACATGATCAGGAAAAACTATGATGATGGCATGTGGATTTCGAATTTTGTGAAACTGGAGTTTCCCAGAAGAGGAAATGGGATATTCTGTATACGTTGTTCTATGAGGTTTATATAACTTGAACTTTCAATGTAGTTTTCTCAAAGAAAAATGGAGGAAAATACGAAGCATGCTACAGTGGAAGACACTGTGGAGTACCACCTGTTCCTGATACCAGATGACTCAAAGGACCCAGAAAAACACAAAGAGATTCTTCAAAAGTATATTGAGAGAATAATGACCCACTTTGCACCTGTGCTGGCCCCCTATATCTGGCAGAATCAGCCTTTTAATCTCAAATATAAACCAGGGAAAGGTAAGGCTCTTTTACTTATTTTGGTTAGTGTGACTTTTAATGTCATCTGACAACAGTGATGTGTGTAGTCTGTACTTTATTCAGTGTTGTCAGGCAAAGATTTATATCCTAAACTTTTTAGATACTTAACTACATGTTCATGTAAGCCTTAAATGTAAAGATTTTTAAAATGTATTATTATTGAAAACTCTAATAGTCATTACCTTAGGAACTAGTGTATATAAAGATAATTAAACACAGGCGCTTCTGAAATTTAATTACTTTATTTTGCCATAATGTATCTATGTGCCAATGGCAGAGGGCTCTAGGTATCTGGCTTTCTTACTCATAGTTCCTTTTGCTGTGACTTAGTGACTTAGTATTCCTATCTTTTTTTTTTTGAGAAGTTTTTGCTATAGGGCGCGAGTGTATGCACCATATAGCAAACTATATAAAAAAGAAAAATAATTGGGCTTTATGACCACTATTTACCATTCAAAGTGTTCTGATGTTCTTTCACTGCTT